GTGTGCTGAGTAGGTGTGAAAGTATAAGGACATTCTAACAGTGTGTGCATCATGTGTGTGTTTGGTAGGTGTGAAAGTATAAGGACATTCTAACAGTGTGTGCATCATGTGTGTGTTTGGTAGGTGTGGCAGTATAAAGACATTCTAACAGTGTGTGCATCATGTGTGTGTTTGGTAGGTGTGGGAGTATAGGGACATTCTGACAGTTTGCACATGTGTTTGTTGGGTGGGGCGGGACTATAAAACATCCTAACAGTGTGTTTTGTGTGTGTGTTGGGTAGGTGTGAGAGAAAAGGGACATCCTTACATTTCCTGCATGTGTATGTGTTTGTTGGGGTAGCAAGTTGAGTTGTTAAAAAAAAAAATAAAATAAAAATAAAACTGTCCCATATTTTCAGGGTTCCCTGCGCCATTACTTTTTAACTATTTCATTGCCTTAGTTAAGTTTCGAATGTAAATGAAGACAAAGGATGTTTATTTCCAACCTTGCAAGTAAAGATTCAAATGATTTTTAAATGGTAAAACTTCGGAGCAATTTAAAAGCCAAACAAATGACGAGGTTTTAGAAAATCGTAAGCTTTACTATGATTAGATTATGCAAGTAAAAATACATCTAAACTTGCTACTTTACGCATTATACTATCGAGTAGTATTCATTATGGGAAATTAAATGCTCTATTCATATAAAATTTATTTATGCATTTTTATTGCAATAATTAACTGCTTCATCAAATGTTAACAAATTTCACAAAAAGACGCCTTTAATTAGAATATTTAACTGTATAATGTAAATGATACAGATTTTTTGGTCTAAATTTAGTATAGGTACATGTTATATCCACAAGTATGATCTCGCCCGTCTTCGTATAAACTCTTTCAACTAATGCAGCACTTTATAACTTGTTATATAGTACATATACACATATATGTCTGGAAGTCTGGAATGATCGATTGCGTAAAAGATATCAATGAAAAGAACAGGTTTTATTTGAATGTCTATCAGCTAGAAAAGAGCTTAGACTCGTCCATGAAAGGAATTTTAAAGAACAAAACTCATAATTTGCATATATTTTAAATCATATGTATCCTGAGTGCTCTTAAAAAAAGGAAAAAATTGTACATAGAATATCTTTCCATTCCTACCTAACAAGAAATAATATACTTGTACATATTATAACAATAATTGTAATGAGCGCATGCGTGATAAAGTTTGTCGAGTTCCTGTGTCCAATGTTGGTGGCACATTCACATCTGACGTCCTCTAAAATGGCAAACAGAATAAAATTCAAAATTAATCAGCAAAATTAAATACACAAGTTCATAAACACTGTATTTCTTTTATTTTGCACGTTCTTATAAGTTCAAATTCATCTTGAACGACGCTTAATTCAACTAGTACGTACTTTTCAAATGGTTCTTGTGTGTATACGTTCAAAGAATTACTGTTTTAAGAATGCTGTTAAATAAAACTCTACGGTAAGAATGTACTGGATAAATAAATAGATATACAAAATTCTTAATAATATCCAGAGACCCATAAAATGCAAAATTTTAACTCAGACAAAAGGTTTCGATAAAATCTGTAATGTTAACTCAATCAAATAGAAAAAATAATAATTTCAATATTATTATAAAAAAATGTAGGAATTTCTTTTTATATTTTCTCGGTGCCCATCTGTATATAAATGTAATCTTTTTATTAAATCAAGATGTGATATAAATCTTGCGTACAGCTTTTATGCATTGACCTTTTAAACTAACTAAAATTTGAATAATAGTTCAAAAACTAAGATAAATGAAAATTATCCCCTAACATTAAATAATAAATGCTAACTGGAGCGCGCGTTGTTTCTTTCGTAATTCATAAACCAAATATTGTGCAAAAATAGATCATTCCCACTGTCGCTGATATTACCTTGACATCGATTCAACAATCACAAGAGTCTGTGAACACCTAATACAAAGTTAATTTACCTAGAAATATATTTTATGGTTTCTATTTATAATGGCAGTGTACATGTTTTGCTATGTGGGAAACTCAAAATTTGTGTCGGATCAAAAAGTAAAATAGGATGTGCACAACGGCAATATGTAATAAAGATTCTGGGAAAGTTTCATAAAATTTCATTCAGTGGTATGAGGAGTTGCGGATAAGAGATGGGTACCCCGAAGCGTAACAGACGGACGAATGGACGGATATAATACTATATATCCTCTTTCAAGCGGGGGTATATTGATGTACAAAATTTAATACCTTGCTTTAGGTACTCCTGAAGCTTGGGAATGTAGTCGTTCCAGAATAGACAGTGACTGTGTTTGAGCCCTTTGTTGTAGACACTATCATAGGGACCAACATCCGCTGAAAACTTCCGGTATGCTTCGTTTTCAAATGAATAGGGCGGCCAGTCACTGGATGGACGTCTGTCAAGAAAGGTGTTAATTGATCTGAAGATTCTTATCTTGTCATGATTACTTGCTAATAAAAATGAGAACGACCCTGTGATAAGAGAGCTAACTCTTGATTTAAAATTAAAATTCTTCAATATAGCATAGAGATTATATTACCATAATTTATTTATGGAGACTGTACGTTTTCAATTCAATAAAACCCCAGGGGCGTAGTATCCGAAGATTATTGATCTGAAGATCCTGCCCCCCCCCCCCCACTTTTTTCCCCAACCTTACTTACACTATAGGAAATGTTAATTCAAAGCCTGTTTGTCCCCCTCACTTTTAGAAATGTACCGAAAATGTACTATAAGAATTGGTACTAAAAGTAGTTGACACTGAAAAAAAGTTTACCTACCCCCCCCCCCCCCCTCCACCACGAAATAGGATTTTCGACTTCGGGCAACTTTTCCCTTTTTTTTGTCAACTTTTTCAGGTAAGTAAAAAAATTTTTTTCTCTGCCTGCCCCCCCCCCCCCACTTTCAAAAACGATGCTACGCCACTGAACCCAACAGATGATTGAAACACTGACTTCTATTTTTTCGCCTTTTCAAATACTATTTTTACATGAGAAACAATAATCAGTTTGATATTTCAAAAAAATTTATGATGACGTTTGTATGCGTTGTTCATTCGATTAAACCCAATATAATGATTAAAACATTAACTTTTACTTCTTTCTTGCATTTTCAAATATATTTCATTACAAACGATAACAAGTTAGCATTGAATGTTATGTTTTCCTTCGTTTACCCTGTTTTGGCGAATTTGGCCCAGTATTGCATCATGTCCTGGCTCAGGGACTGCTCATTCGCCGAGTACTTGGTCCCTTTTCTCAGAGGAAGCCCAAAAATGAACTCGATCTCGTCCCCATGGAGGGCCCCTGACCACTCTGGCCACGAACTGACAGACGGACGATGGTTGAACTCGTACAGGTATACACCAGCGGCCTGTCCGTTTGCCTGGGCGTACTTTTGGGCTAGATTGATGGTTGGACATTTAAAGGCAAAGTCGCCAGCTGTGATTGATAAAAAATATTATATATTTAATATCAATTCCGGTCCAAACAAGGTAGGCTTTACCTAATGGTTTTAATCCTATCGAACCTTTCCTTTTTCAAATGCATTAAATCTGGGTACTTTGAGAATGTTTGCACGTGAAAGAAGTCAGAAAGTTCTTAGTGGACATAATATTCATGTTAATGTACAACTTTATTACATTTAAACAAAAGCCTTTGCATTGAAGATTTTTTTTTCATTAAACTCTTTTTACATGTAATTGTTATACTTGTATCGTCTAATAATATAATAATGACGTCACAAACAACATATGACACAAATTCAAAGAAGAAAGGTGTTTATACCTGTTACTCACTTATATCATCAAGAAGCATCATGTAATCCTTCTTATCACCCGGAAGTAGGTGGCTCTCATATCGATATAAAATGGCGTCTATTATTAGTTTATCCTTTACATTGTCCAATTTATGTATGCCATTTTGCGAAACACATTCTGGTAAATTTTTTATGTAATCGTCTTTCTTCAATGTATTATTTGGCCAGTCTGTTACAATTATATCATATAAACTATAAAACAAAAAATACATAGCCTCATTTCTATTTACACCTAATAATATCCTCTTCGCTGGTAAAATCCCTGAGCTGAAGAAATCTGAAGGTGTTTCAAAGATAAAATAATTGTCTAAAGTTGGAACGAAATTAAACGTCACAGCCGTCAAAGGTAACGTCCATATTTTTGTAAAGAATTCACTTGCGTCTTTCGTTTTCAAACACTCAATGACGGAGGTCTCATCATTTGATTCACAGTCAAAAGCCTCTGCTAATTTGACAGTATATTCCAAAGCTACTTTCGGATCATTATATGCCCAGTGCGCAAGAGCGGAAGCACTCTGCAAAATGGCATTTTTGAAAAGATTGCGAGAGTGGTTTGCCATAATGTGATAACTTATACTCACAGCGCCTGCACTCTCCCCAAACAATGTTATATCATCTTGAGATCCCCCAAATAGTTGAATATTTGAATGAATCCAATGCAAAGCTAGTTGTTGATCTAATAATCCCATATTTCCAGGGGCATTTTCGGTGCCTAAATATAGAAATCCAAGAGGACCTAGTCTATAATTTATTGATATCACAATAACTTGCTGTGAACTTGCCAACATGGCCCCATCGTACAAATCCAATGTTGGTGAACCTGCAATAAATCCACCTCCATAAATCCAAACCATAGTCGTGAGTTTCGTATCTCCGGACACTTTTGGTACCCAGATATTCAAATGTAAACAGTCTTCACTCATATTTGTATTTGGATTCCACATCTCTTCGGATTTTTCGCCCTTTTTTCCCTTAAAATACTCCAAAGGACTCTGAAAGCAAGTATTCCCTAGGGAGGTGGCATTAAAAACGTCCGTCCACTTTTCTATCGGTACTGGTCGGCGAAACCTAAGTTCCCCGAGAGGAGGCTGGGCAAAGGGAATGCCTAGGTACGTATAAACTGTGGTTCCGTCGACATCTTGAGTGAAACCGCGCACAAAACCGGAAGTTGTCTCAACAAGTGTTTTGGAAGTGTAAACCGGAAGTGAAATTATACTAAGGAAGGTTGTTAGCAGGTATCGAAGCATATTCAGTTCTTTCCTGCAATAGATCGTAAAAGAGAGTTTACATAATGTCGCTGGTAGAAAAATACAAGTTAATTAAGTGAGTACGTTCTTAAAGAAATTCATTATGTACCTTTTCACTTGTTACAAACTCGATAAGGACGTTAAACAAAGTAGAAACAAACAAAGAAATACTAGTAAATAAAACAATACAAACCGGACACAAAACTAAACGTAACGTTTGTGTTGTAGACAATATACTGATATTGCGAGATCAATCATTGACCATTTACTATGACACAATATATAAATATTGCATGTAGTTGAGTGTAACATTGAAAATTTTCACCCCAAGAAAACCATTGTCAACCGAGGCGCACTAAACTACATGCAATATTTATTATATTATACTGAATGTTTTATACAAATACATATAACAGTGAACCGTGCGCGCATAAATTCTGCGCAGTCGTTATTTTTTGGAATACCACCCGTCGTCAAGCAATGTTGACTGTTGCTACGCTGGAGGGCGTGGCTTCATTATTCAGCGGGTAGTAGTGTTTTTTAACAAATGTTTCTCGACTAATCAGATTCAACTTATTTCACATTAAGTATAATATCATTTAATATCGTCCTCTAGGTCCCTTCGGCTTATGCATCAATGAGAGAAAAGCGTGCACACTTTCTGCTCATTAACAATGCAAATACAAATCTTTTTAAATTAAAAATTATATTGTACTAACTTTAATTTATTTTCTAAATCTGTAATCATGACAATCTAAATATTAAGGATTCTCAATTTGAACCAGAGCTGGAACTACAGGTAAAATGTATAAATTTGTATATTTTTTCTTGTCAGTCTTTTTAATACAAAATTAGGAGAACCCTTTAATAAGCCAATGCTTATGAAGGAAATTAAATTCTTTGTATGCATCAAACACGACCCGCCAGTTGTTGAAAATCCATTTCATATATGTTTGTACATCTGGCAGGAAAAGTACATTGCGGAACATCCGGAACGAGTGAAGAAATAATTGATAACATGGAAATGAGCAGCAAAGAGTACTGAAATTGACAGGGGCGAGTGGAGTACTAGTATAGATTTTATAAATCATATACACAAGAACAGCCACTGGCAAGCATTGCAAAAATTACATGAGGCACCCTATAAAACAAAGCCTCGTTACTGCAATCCCAATAGTGTGTCCCAATAGAGACATTCACAAAAGTGTAACAGCGTGTTAAAAAAAAACGCATTTTTGCGTTATATACAGCACGCCGTCACGTTTAACACGCAACACACCGTCCCGCTATTGCATATTTATACAACACATCATCACACATCACAGGGTTGCACTACCACTGATCAGGGCAATCTAACATTTTACACAATTGTTTGTGTGTTAAAGCGACGGTTTTTTGTGTAAAATTGCGTCTGCGTGACTGTGTGTTTTGTGTGTTAGCGCGACAGCGCTTTGTGTTTTAGCGCGACGGCATATTGTGTAATATTACATTTGCATAACGGCGTGTTGTATTTTAACGTATCGGCCGTGTTGTGTCAAGTTGTCACTTTGCGCAGTAATAGTACTTGTCAAATGGAATTCTCTCTTCATCACTTACGCGAAATGGACACAAATAAACAGATGCTCCCCCTATGAGAAGTTAGTTTACTTAGTTCGGATTTTCTATTTAACCCTGAAATTTTTCTAGGATGAACAAGCCACCTGTTAGGTTGGATCAGATTCATCAATGAACAAAGAAGCGTACATGCGTGTTGTACGGAAGATTATTATAAGGGATTTATGACACTAATAATCTGAAGGCAGCCGCAGTCGGTAATTATTAATGATTTAGAACACGCCTTTATGATTACACGAAAGCATCCCCTACTGATCATCGTGGAATGAGGAATATAAATAAAGGTTATTGAATTCTGGTACTTGTGTTATCCTAACAAAGAAATACACTGTATATTATGTTTTCTACAGAAGTTTTACAAATAAAACATTCATGTTTTTAATGACTTCAGTAGTGTGTGCATGACAAGTCTGTAGCTCTACTGATTTGAACTTCAAAAAATGTGTTTGACAATAAAAATTAATCATTCCCTGTTAAAAATTCTTGTTGTGATAAGTTTAATTCTAATTGGACGAAAACTATTAAAGGATTAACTTTTAGAAAGAATTTCACAGAAATCTGAATTTTAATAATCATAATATTTTCCTCCCTGAATTTTTTTTCAATGTATACTTACTTAACAGAAAAGCATTTTAAGTTTGCGAAAAACACCTTCTAAATAATTAATCTTATAGCTAGTTGAGGTTTATCGACTTGTTTCTAGGTCGATCAAGTAAATGAACCTTAACAAAATCTGCTGATTTTGAAATATTTCCCTGTTACGTGTTTACTCTGGTTAATAAACGAATTGATGCTTATTGCCTCGCTATGACGTCATACAGGTTCGGACTAACCTTTAGAACCAGTATCGTTCGACCCAAATACTTCCAATAATAACAATTACCAATGTAGATAAGCACCTGTCTTGGCTCGTAATAACCACTTGTCAAACATATGGCTAGGGTTATACATGCTGGATCATTTTTTTATGTAAACAAAATCGCATTATATTTTCCCTGCTGTATATCTTTTTTCCATGTGTTAACCTCATGGTTAGAAGTTTTGACCTATTCCTTGCTATTTTCTTATGAGAAAAATTATATTTAGATAATCCTCAACTGAAGTTGGTATATTTTTTAAATAGCTACCAAATTTTAACTTAAGGAATGCCCAGTTCCGCCCGGAAGATTCCGTCGCGGGAGAGGGCACTGTTAAAATCCCTCGACTTAAAAAAGTGTCAACACAAAAAAATGGAAAGGAGATTTTATTTTGTTTTATGATATAGAGTTCATTACTTCATATATATAAAATTATTAGGGCACGACCCCAACCCATTTCCACTCCTGCCTCTCGGCGCACACGACCAAGAAATGTTTTATGCGTCAGGCATAGTATAGTCATAGATATTAAAAATACGTGAAAACGACAAGCAGAAAGTTAAAATAAAGTTATATTCAATTTTTGTAGCCTTTTTAATTTTGCGAAAAATCGGTCCTTTCTAAACCAGCCAAAAATAAAGTAAAAACTAGGAATTTTGGCCGTTAACTGACATTTATTTATTATATTTATTAACTTATTATATGTAAAAATTAATTTTAACCCCCCCCCCCCCTCCCCCCTAAAAAAAAGGAGAAAAAAATCGATAAACGGCACTAACACAAACTTATGATGAGAGCAATCATTTATCTTTATTGAAAAGTGAGTTCGTTTCATTGACATATGGCCTTGGATGTGATTGCGATCAACAACCACAGTTTGCCGTCATATCTGACGGATGGAAAAGCAACTTGACCTCGGGCCATCATTAACTTTCTGCAAGTAACGTTAATAAGATGACCCTTACAAGTTTTGATTGGATTTTCTGATTATTTACGGTACAAAGCAGAGATTCTTTTCCAATGTAACATTCATTTGGAAAGTTAATCAAAGTAGATTGCATCGACCTTTACGGCGGTTAATTAACTTTCATAATAGATAGGTTAGTGAAGGTTAGAATTATATTAATTTTTCAATTACATATAGTCCTTGGAAAGAATATAAGACGGTATATTTATTATTTTTTTATTCATTATCTTTTTTTTTATTAACCTTATAGTGAATTAAAGATGGTGACTTGTTTTTCAAACAAATTACGAAATCATCATTTTAGTTAATAGTTAAATTAAATAGATTGTTCATTTAAAATATACCAGGTATTTAATTTGAATACATATTTGATAAATGCAATTATTTGAAAACATGTACAATCAAATATACAACTTTCAAGTTTCGCTTTAAGGACAGTTCATACAAATCAGATGGATACCTAGAATAATATAACTTGTTGGACATATTTTTAATGCAAATATTCAATAATTAAAAGAAATTTTTCATTTGTTTGTTGGCTAGTTAGTTTATTTCTTCTATAACATCCAGAATGTTTCAGTCCTATTGAGACGTCGCCACTTGTCCTCGCCCAGTACTCAGCTTTCGGCAGATATCGATGTACCTACTGCGACACGGGACCTCGGTTTATCGGTCGCATCCGAAGGACGCACAGTCTCCACGTCCTGAGCTTGTAACGTATGGACTAACTACAGCAAAATGATCTTACATGTACCCACTGTGCCACACGGGCGCTTTCATTAAATGAAATGTAACTTTAAATATTGCTGCACACCGTTGGCGACTTAAAAGAAATTGAAAACTAAATGTAATCCATCTATGACATAAATAAAGTTCATTTTCTATATTATATTTTGTGTTTTTGCTGTTACCTCTTAGCTAGTCTTTTAGCATAAATACACAGAAACTTTTCGTCATTTTGTAAAGCATCATTAATCCACCGTGAAGTTTTCAACCTTAAAGAGTTTAACAAGCAGTGGGTGCAGGTATAAAATTTTAAGCGCTGTTAACCCGATACCCACCACAGATGTTAATAAGCCTAACTTCCCGCAGAGATCGGACACATCGCGTTCTTTTGAAATTCGCTTCATTTTTCCTTTCATCCTATTCATGTCTGTTTCAAGTCAATCCTTAGTTCATAATTTATTCTACAAGCGTCGATTGCCTCCAGATGTTTTCCTGTATGAATTTCCCCCCGCTCTCTCTCTGGTAATAGACAAAACTGTAAATTTCGGGGCCCGTTAGTTTCGTTTCTTGACATGCCTTCCGCATATCTATTTATCGGCAATTAGTGCCGCGTATAAAACGTTGATCTTCGCGCTAATTATTGTGGGAAACGGCATCAAACTTTTATGACTTTTTCTTTGACATGCACAATAAGCTTGGATTCATGCAGTTAATCTTTTTGGGCGTTTTTTTTTCTTTTCCTTCTTTTTTTTTAATACTTTTAACATTTATAGAAAAATATTCTACTTATCTTGCAGGTCCTGTAGATGTACGTTTAATCATATTTTAATTATTCTATCATTTTAATTTTATTTTGTGGTTTGGTATTTTTAAAATCTTTCCACAACCTCTACATCAAACAAAATTTACATTTATAAATATACAAAACTCCTCTGTCTCTCTCTCTCTCTCTTCCTCTCTCCCTCTACGAAATCACAACGAAAATAATAATAATAAGTTTTTTAAACAACTTGTGTTCAACTGGCGCCTAACTTTAAATGAAGTCTCATTCTTCATTCACAAAAATAACTGAATAAAGAATTATGAATGAAATAAATTGAATCGCCAAGACGGCGCGCGTCGACCAGTGCTCATTTCATTCACAATAAATGTCAGTTTCTGGATTCCACACAAGGGATGTTACACTATAATGAAGTTAATTCTTTTCATCGAAGCTCGGACATGTTGAAAGCTCAGAATCCGTCATAAAACTGTCAAACCAAATTACATCTCGGACGTACAGCTGGGGGAGTAATTATTTGTTAAGCCCTACATTTATGAGAAAATGTCAATAATCTTGTCAAAGATAGATTAAACAAGAAAGAGAAATTATTGAAACATGCAAATATCCTTACACATATATACTCATGTTAATACGTGAACAAGAACAGTCATATTACTTGGTAAATGTCTTGAATGTAGAAGACTACAATAGTACAAGTAGTTAAACATTTTATTCTATTCGGACCAAGTTGTTCGGCTTTCTATTTAAAAGATGAACAGATTAAATTAATACACGTACAAACGTATTGCGATGTCAAATTCTCAAACTCTCAAATAGCCCCTGAAAAAAAGGTTGCTGCTCTATGTTCTAAATATACGAAGTACGGGGTAATTACACGTATAAAATCTAAAACAAACAGCATTAATCTTCTAAAATATACCTACTAAATGACTGATTAATGTACAAATAAAATCAAATAAATCATATTAATAGAGAAGTGACTTTATCCGTAAAAGTACCCCCCCCCCCCGCCAAAAAAAAGTGATCAAAGATTTATCTTTTGAAAAATTTTAATCTGAGAAAAACATACATATGACTCTTTCACATTTTCGTTTGTTATCAATGTTGATGATTTGAATTATAAACGTACACCATAAATTTCGTTTTTTGTTTCATATTATCATTCATATCGATATTCTGTATACATGTAACATAACACCATTGTTTGGGTTAAATCTATCAATTGAAGAAATTAAAATATATTGGATATACACATGTAGATTTTCTCCGCGTTAATTTCCGGATACCCTGGACGTTTCCGGTCATAAAGTATGTTATACATCAAGTTAATGAACGGTTTCGTATAAATATTTATTTCTATCTCCCAACGCGGAACAAAAGTGCAAAGGAAATAGCTCTCTCATTGAACGTTAATTAACGATCGTTAATTATATATAGAACCTTGCAATTTAGACCACCTCCTTCAGTTCTAAGCTATAGAATCTTTATGTGAACTGACTTAAGACGAGTGGAGAAGATGTTTGAAAACATTTCTAACCTAGATAAAAAACTTTAACTAAATTAATTAACATCTAATAATTACGGGAAAGAAAACACTTTTGATTTTTCACCGAGTCTTAATTGAATACGGTCGTTGTAAATCATTAAACAGAGTGATGTAATTCTCTGAAAGCGCTCCTTAAAACATGTAAAGGGAATACGAGAAATCAGGTTATTTGAATAGCTTTAAGAGGGTATACTCAAAGTAGACAAGTATTTTCTTGTTCTCTTTAAACTTTAAACAGGAAATGGGCTTTTCATATATATCATTTACTGAAACTAACAAGATGATGAAACTCCAGAGATATAAATATTACATAATCTCTCTGTGTTCAAAGGATAACTAAAAACAATATTTGACAAATCCATTTGACTGTTTTAAAAAGATACTGTTCCTTAAGATACCTGAAAAGTGGAAGACACGTGCTTATGTGCATGTGTCAAATGATGAAATCACTTAAAATCGCCAACATACTTACAGTACTATATATCTCTTTATAATAGCATTACTATATGTACTTGAGGGAAATGAGCATAAACGAACCTAGCGAAATGGGAAACACTGGGGATATCCCAATAAATTCATTAAAATTGTGTTAATACCTAAATGCTAATAGCCTAATATAGCAGATTTATGAATGACACTCGTGAAATGGAAGCACATGGGGTATCTAAATAATTTATTATGGTGTGCATACATAATAGAATCAGATTATCTTAATTCTATGTAACACACAGGACTAATACATTAAATCGCCTGTATACATAGGAAGACTGATCATCTTAAATCTCATGAATGAAACTCGCGGAATGGAACACACGGGGTATCTCAATAATAACGATATCGTGTGAATACCTAATAAAGCAGAACATTCTAATTCTATTTTCTCATCAGCAGTTCGTCTGGACTCGATCAGCCTTGCTATTGATTGAATGTGATAAATACTGCGTGTAGTGGAATTCTTCACAAAACTACATATACACATCCTTCGAAACACAACACAATCAATAGAGACACACGAAAGATGGACAGGAAATGAACAGTATAGATGGAAAAGATTTATATAGAGAGAGAAAGTTCACTTACTTTATATATTTCCAGTGAAATCAGCTGTGTTTAATTTTCCAATCAGATCCTTCGAGATGTCATGTAGATTTCCGATGTCTACCTTTCAATCATACAATAGAAATGAACAGCCATGTTATATAGGGGAAACATACAGAGGGCTAGAAATCTACAACCGGTGCTCGCTCCTCTTCGGCACCGTAACTATGGGACGCGGTGTCTGACACTGAATGGGGTGAGTACAACGTGCTTCAGGCGAGATCGGGAATCTCCGGAAATCTCCGACCTTTGCCGATTGCTATCTGATGGATCTTCAGATCACTACAGCTGTCGATAGAGAGAGCGATGCTATAGGCCTGGGAAGTGGAACAACTTATATCTCCTGATGGGAGGATAAATTTGGGGGAATTATGAAGCAATTAACTGCTCTGTGATATCATCTAACCTTCATATTTATCATAGTTACCATTTTATCTTTTCCATAGTTTGGGTTATTAGCAACGCAATACTGAATCTATGTTTTGTAGGACATACAAAGTATGCACAAGGTCACTTAGCTTACGTTTTTATGTTATAAGAATAGGTCAATCAAGGAAATAATAGAAAAATAGTCAGCTATTCATCCAAAAAAAAAAAAAATCGCTATAATACCGACCAGTTTTTATCATGAGATTATACACGTTTTTACTTTAAGATTTTATTGCAAAAGACTAAAAAGATATGTGTGATTGTA